CACCTCCTTCACCAGGCCCTCCCTGGCCACTTTCCTTCCAGTGCCCTCTCCCCTCCACCCTTATTCTCTCCCTAGTCACTCCATGTTTCTCCACACGTCCCAGTCAGACAGTCATGATTGTCTGTCTCCCTGCTAGGATATATACATACAAGGGAGGAGACTTGCATTTGTTTGGTGCTGTTTTCCAGCACCTGGAATAGGGCCTTCCTGGTAGTATGTGACCAGGGGCAGCTATTACAACCTTTGGCAGAGTGGTCAAGAACTAGATGGTGAGGAGGCCAAAAAGATGGTGAGGCATTTTATGAGGTAGCAAAGACTTGGTAGAACGGTTGCCGTGGTGACCTGAGGGTCAGACCACGTGCTTATGGAGCTACAGAATCTGGGGTGAAGGCTGGCGGCAGGAGTGAACGGGGTGTGTTGGCTGTCATGGGCAGTGCCAGTGTCATGAGAGAGAGAACGCCAAGAGGGACTGGCCTATTGGCCAGCAACAGGGAGCACGGGAAGTGGGAGAAGGTTCAGCAATTTGGAGATGGCAGAGTTAGAAAAGTTCATTGCTTCTATATTCCAAACCATAAGAGATAACATGGTAAAGAACATTGAACAGCAAAGGATCAGTGAAACACGGTGGCGCACAGTGAGACTCAGCACCTATTAAGGCCAAGAGATTTAATGGGTCGAACGCGGTGGCTACAGGACCTGAGGGTCAGGCTGTAACGCTGAAACAAGGGCACGCCAGCCTTTATGGGGGTTTAGGGCGACCTGTCAGTCGATTATTGGTCGGCTGGCGGAGCTCCAGACAGGTTGGTGGACTTTTCGTGGGCGCGGGAAAGGGTGAGCCGGACTGTAGAAGAAGAACCCAGAGGGTGCCATTTCAGACGCCCCCTTTGCCGGGTTGCCATTTTAGGCGGGGGCTGGGTTTAGGCCCCTTTCCAGGAAAGGGAGGGGATGTGGTTTGCTAGCGCCTGGCGGTGGCCCTGCATTCCCACCTCTTTGGTTATACGGGGGAGGGGCGGCGTTTATCTGTCTAGCTGTTTCCTGCTGACAATGGGCATCGGTGGGTGAGGTGGGTGAAAGGCCAAGCCACACGAGACCCCACAAGTAGGCGCCAAAAGAAAAAATTTCATTTGGGTGGAAGTCCTGGAAGGTGCCTTGTAAGTGGAAAACGGCAAGCTGGTCCGGCCAGTCGTCGAGTGGACATGGGAAAGGGAGGAGCCAACTGTCACGAAGAAGGTGGTTAAGAGATGCTGAGAATCTGAATGGTAGGTAGTAGGGGTAAACTTTAAGGCGAGCATGTCTGAAATGAGAAGACAAGGTTAGAGGTTTGTAGCCTTTTGGTCATAGGGGCACTGGCTCATTCTAGCTATTTTCTGCTGGGGAGGGGTGGCATGGGGGGGGTTTAAGACTGGTATGGGGCCGGAGGTGGTTTGGACGGAAGGGGCGAGTAGGAATGTAACAGTAGTTGGTTGACCGTTATTCGAGAGAGCTCTGCCAGGCGCTGTTGGAGAAACCTAAAAACACACAGGGCCATCGACAAGAGAATAAATATGACAATTAGTGGAGTTAGAACAGGGAGAAACCACGTTAGGAGTTGGGGTTGCCACCTTCCTGAGAATGGGCCTCCGGTCAGGTCTTCTCTCCATTTTTGGAGGGTTTTTTGTAATTGTTTAATTCTGTCCTTGACTATCCCTGATTTATTGGCATAGAAGCAGCATTTTTTCCTAAGAAATAAGCATATTTTCCCCCTTTTGCTGTAAGCAGGTCTAGTCCCCATCGATTTTGGAGGACCATATCAGCCAGGGAATCTAGTTGTGTTTGTAAGTCTAGAACCGTGTCCGCCACCTGTCGTATGTCCTCGATCAGTTGGGAGGAGAGCTGTTTGTAAAAGTGAAGTGAGGATCCCAGCCCTGCTGCCCCCCTTCCCCTGGCCGCGGTAATACCCAGCCCCACCAGCAGAGGTATGAGCTGAACTGCCCGCCTTACCCGCGACGTTGAGGAACCGATCAAGGGGACAGGCAGGCTTTGGTTACCGGGTGCTATTACAACGGTGGGGAGGAGGATGACAAGAATGCAGGACCCTGACCAGTCGGGAGGCAGGACCGGGTAGATGGTAGTGTCGCATAGAAAGGCAGTCCCGTTAAGTGGGGGGCAGAGGGTGTTATTTGATTGGACCATGAGTGATCGTGAGCAGAGGCAGAAGGGGGGCCCATCTGACTTCCGGGGTGCCGTTTCGTGTTATATACTGGGCCGCAGGCAAGTTAGGTGGGAGAGGGATATTAGAACGCGGTAGTGAAGGTGGACATTGGGTTGGAGGCATAGAGAGAGTCCAATGTCCTGTGACCAGGACAGGGGAGACCAGGACTGGCCGGACCTGAGGCATAGCCAGCAGTCCTTTGTTAAGGCAGGGTTAGTAAGGTTAAGCAGGGTATGGGTTTTGTTGTGAAGGACAGAAAGGAGTCCCGGGTGGTTAAAGTGACCGGTCGGTGAGAGGGTCCCACTGGTTGGGCCAGAACTCTGGTCGCCGTCCCAGTTTTTTCCTCAGTGAACAGGAGGAGAGGCTTGCGGAAGTCAGGAAGCATAAGTGTGGGGGGAGCTAGGAGCGCGTTTTGCAAAGTTTTGAAGGTGCAGGTTAGGCTACAGCTGAGGGAGACGTGAGGGGGCTGGTGAGAGTTTCCTTAGTTGCAGCACATAGCAGTTTAGCACGTATAGCGAAATGGGGGACCCAATGCCTAAAGAAGCCCACCAGCCCAAGGAACGACAAGATTTTAGCACTTGAGATGGGGGGTAAGGGTTTCCTGATGGAGATGGTGTGGTCCGCCGTGAGGGCCTTGGAGGTGGGGGTCAGGGCCACCTCTAGGTAGGTGACTTGTGGGTTAGAGAGTTGAGCTTTGGAAGGGGAGACCCTGTATCTCCGCTGTGTTAGAAGGTTAAGGGGGGAGGCCGTATCCCGGAGAGAGACCTCCCTGGAGGGGCTGCACAG